GCACAGGATATGGGTGGAGTCAGGAAAGATCAGTTCCTTTGAGGCAGGGCACCAGGGACCTCAGGCCTGGGCCAGGGGTACCTATTCTGGGAGGTCCCAGGAGCTCGGGATCCCAGCCTGGATACCAGCTCAGCAGCCCAGGTAAGAAGACTGGGCTGAGGTGCGGCACCTGGTCTGAGCACAGGCAGATGCCAGGGGTCTGCCCAGCCCCACCTGACTGGCAGGGTCCTAGCGGGAGTCTCCCCAGGCTGCTCTCAGGAGACCTGGCTGGCAGGTACCTGCTCCTCCCCTGGCATACACTTGAGGGATGCTGCTTGGCCATCTCAAAGGAGGAATGTAGGGCCGTCCAGCAGGTGAGAAGGGTCAGGGTCTCTACAGAGGGCTCTCCACGTGACTCTGAGATAAAGGCCACCCCACAGCACACACCCCCACCCTGTGGCTCTGGTAACTGGTGGGCAGCAGGGCCTGAAAACCAGGGAGGCCCGAGCAATGGGGACAGGGGGCTCAGCAAGGGGCAGAGGCTGGCCTGGACGTCAGAGCCCTCTCCCCACACCCCTGGGCCCGCCTGCCCCTGCCTCAGCCCCTACCTACCCTTTCCCTGCAGCGGCCAGCTGGCTGTGATGTGGGTGGTGCTCCAGGCTGAGGAGAAGCAGGGCTGCGGCCCCGGCCGTGGGAGCGAGGCAGTAGCCGGCCACTCCTCCAGAGTAAACACCACGGGTGGCTGGGTCAGCAGGACAGGCACCCAGGGAGGACCCTCACCCAGCTCCCACCTCCCGCGGACCCAGGCCTGACCCAGCCGGTGAGCCGAGGAGAAGGAAAGCCCCTCCCGCCAGTGGCGTCTGAGGGTCTCGGAGGCCCAACTACCGGGGGGCTCCTGCACCCCGGCCACAGCCACCTACCTGGTCCCACACGGTGAGCAGCAGGAGAGACGCACCGCAGGCCCACCCCCGTCCCATTCCCAGGCAGGCCCCACCCGCCCCTCCAGCCTCCCCACGTAGGCCTGGAAGTACCTCCCGGAGTCTAGCCTTGGTGCATCCTGCTGTGAGTGGGCGGAAGGGCTGGCGCGTGCTAGGTGGCAGCTTCTGGAGACACTTCACTTGGCCTCCGACACCCCTTCCTGTTAACTCCTGTCCCTGCCGCCACTCCCTCACACACGCAGGCTCCACAGAGCAGCCTGGAGGGGCCACAGGCACAGGCGGGGGTCCCACCTGCCCTCAACACTGCCCCAGGTGTGTGTGACATGCCAGCTGTTGCAAAACTGATGTTATCAAACCAGAGGAACCCGTGAGTCACCGCCCCAGAGCAGGGGCTGCACCCCAAAGTCTCCTGAACAAAAGCCCTTTGTCCCCGAGCCCCTGGGGCCAGGCCTGCTGTGCACACTGTCAGACTCCCAGTGGCAGCAGTAGGCACAGGCACAGGTCAGGGGTGTGCCCCCAACACTGGGACGTGCTTCCCAGCCCGCCTGATCCAGCTCAGGGGGCTAGGCAGCGGGAGACCCCGGGCTGCCAGACGCCTCGGCTTCCAGGTCAGCTCCAGGGCCAGGCCTGCAGATGCAGCCCCTTTTTGACACTGGAGCAGGGCCCTGAGGTCATGCAGAGCTGGAGCAGCAAGAACTTGGAGCCCAGAGGGCACACCAGCCAAGCCCCTTCCATAAGCAAGGCCCCCCCAGGATGTAGCACCCTGCGTCCCCAGCTCATCCCCAAAAGGTCTCTTGGCCATAGCCCAGTCCTAGGTCAGCTCTACTGCACACAGGATGAAGGCCTCAGATGAGACGGGGCTCCCCAGGGCTCAGGACCCCCTCTGCCTTGTCCCCACCCCTGAGATCCCCAGCCGTTGCAGTGAACCCAGCAAGAGCCCAGGAAGCAGCATGTCGCCACCCGGGGTCTGGCAGCTCCGTGGCCACCTGCCCGGCTGTTCAGCCTGATGGGCTTCCTAGCTTCACTAACGCCAGGGCTCTGACACCAAGGGCCCTGGCCACCATCATTCGTAAGCTCAGGTATTGAACCCCCCGGGTCATAAACACCTGCTCTGTGCTTGCTCCTGAGGCACCTGGCAACTCCAGCTCGGCAGAGGTCACCCCCCTGCCCCACCACCATCACCCAAACACTCAGGCCACAAGGACACGGGGGAACATAGTGGGGTCCACACGGGGAGCCCAGGTATATGCAGGGCCATCTGCACAGGGCCCTACAGGCCTCCACTGCATGTACCCAGGCCACTCCTGGTCCTCGGCCCAGGCCACAGGGGTCAGAACACCTGGTCCGGGTGTAAGAACCTCCTGGTGCGCCAAGAGGGCCCTGGCTGGAAACGGCCCATGGCTCAGACCCCCCTCCCAGCCCCAGGCCCACCCTGACGACAACGAGGTCAGACTCACAGCAAGGCCTGGCCACAAAGGGCCAGGCTTCACACCCCTCCCAGGCACCCCAGGGCCCGAGCCAGGTGGGTGGGCCTCTCCTGCCAGCCTTAGCCCCAAGGGGGAGCCACGGGGCACAGAGCCAGGCAGCCTCCTTGCTCCCAGCCAGGAGCACACAGCCCCACTCCTGGGCCTGGCTGTCCCCTGGCTGCTGCCCCTGGCTCCCAAGAGGTTCTTCCGGCTCTCCCCAGCCAGACACCCACATTCCTATCTGCAATCAAACCCAGCAGCAACGATACTGGAGGGTCAGGCTCGGAGCCGGCGGACACAGGCCCGCTCCCAGCGCCCTAGAGCTGGCCGGAGCCAGGAGGGGCAGGTCAGGGGCGGCCGGGCTGAGGCCCCAAGTTCCCCTCCTAGGAGCCTCCAGGACAGTGGAGCAGACGCCTCACGATCGGACGGCGCTTCTAAGAAGTGAGCTGCTCCGGGGCCAGGCTCGGGGTCAGGGGCCAAGCTGAGGCCAGAAGGCGCTGGCACTGTGCTGGCCGCTCTGGCTGGGCCCCAGCCAGCGAGCTGTCACACCACAGCTGGGGCCAAGCCACCCGGGCCGTGAGGCTGCAGGCGGATGACAGAGCTGGGCCCAAGGCAGGTCTTCAGGGGCCTCGTCTGCCCTGGGGCCAGCCTGTGCCTTGAGGGCCTGAACCCCAGGCCACCCCAGCTCACACCCTTGCGCACCCCGCCTCACCACCACTGCCCCACTCCCCCGGCTCTGCTTCTGCACCCCCAGCTGGGGGCTCGACCGGAGACGGCACATTCCGGGGGAATCACAGCTGAGTGGCTAATGACCTCTGATCGGGGCGGCAGAACCAGGGCGGAGGAGGGGCAGACAGAAAGCAGGTGGAGCTGCACGGCGTCCCCGGCGCCCTCCAGCGCCCTGGCCCCTCATCTGTCTGCTCCTTGTCTCTCGTCTCCTCGTCTGTCCCTGTCTGCAGGGCCCTGGGCCCCCGTCTCTGCAGCAGGTCTCGTCTCTGTCATCGCACCCTCGAGCAGGTGGGTGAGGACGAGGCCCCCTTGTGGGCCAGGCAGGACGGAGGGGGTGGTTCTGGCTGGAGCCAAGGGACCCACGTGAGCCCCTGGGAGCAGCGAGGCCCCAGGCACAACCAGGGGTCTGGATGGGAGCTGGCCAGCATCCCCTGGCATCCCCACCCATGGTGCCCTGGGCAGTTCGACTGGTCACAGCCTCACTTTCCCCTCTGTGACAGGCAGCAAGCTCAACTGGTGCCAACTGCCACGCCAAGCCACAGTTCCAGACCTCAGCCCCACACAGGACCTCCCTAACAGGAAGTGCCCTCTCCCCTGCGTGCCCCTCCTCTCCCAAACCCCCTCCACAGGGACCCTACCCGGCGCACACACCCCACCCTCACAGGCTGCCAACATCCCCACTCAGACCAGGCTGGCGCCTGCCGCAGACCTCCCCCAGACTCCCCAGCCCCGACACCACCCTGCGGGGATCAGGGGGAGAGGTGGGGACGGGTCAGCGGCCAGCGCCCGCTCGGCACCAGCATTCTCCTGCTTCATTACCCAGCAAGCCACAGGGAGGGTCCCTCCTGTGGCCCCCAGACAGGTCAGGGTCCTGGGGGAAGGGGCTGGGTAATGGCCCACAGCCTCTAGCCACCACCTGCCCCACCTCCCACCCCTGCCCTCCCCCTGCCCTCCCCTGTCTACAGGGTGAAGGAGCACTTTGCTGCTCAGCCTTAGAAGCAGGGTCGCCAGGCCCCCTGCTGTGGAGCTGAGCCCCACTCCACCTGGTGGCATCCCCAAAGGGGCACCGCCAGCCTCAGCCCTCCAGGACAGCTGCCTGCCAGAGGGCCTGGGTACCAACCAGAGACAGGACCTCAGCAGCTCTGCAGAGGCCCTGACATCCCAGCCCCAGTTTACACCCTTTGGTCTGGGTCTACTGGAGCCAAAAAGGGGTGGGGGTAGGGGACCCCAAATCCACAGGACCTGCGGGCAGGGCCTCGGCTGCCCCACCTGGGGCAGTTCTAACCCCATCTTTGGGGTGGAAAGTTTGTGCTGGCCTAGAGTGGCCGCAACCACAGGGAAGGTGCCTGCCTGCCTGAGCCAAGACAACACATGGCCAGCCCTGCACACGTAAGCACTCAGCATACCCAGGTGGGCAGGGACACCCTCCAGGCCCACCCGTGGTGCTAGAGCAGTACCCATGTCTGCTCCTCCACACCTGCCCCCATAGGATGAGGCCTCCAGAGCGCTCCCCATCCTGCCCCGCAGACACGCAGGGCACACAGAACCTGGCCACCATCCAGCTCTCCAAACCCGGGCTTCTAGAGCTCCAGGCAGAAGAGGCCTGGGTCCCTGGCCCTATAGGTGTCCACAGACTACTGCCCTCCAAGGCTGCCCCAGGCCATGGGCAGGGCTGAGCAAGGACCTCATGGACATCTGTCCTTGTCCTCAGCAGTCACAGGGGCTATGGGAGCTGCATCTGGAGCTGCAGGGCATCAGCAGGAACCCCTGCCTCCAAACAAAACCCACTCCCCACCCACCCTGCCCCAAGGAGTGTATCCTAAGGCCACATGCCCCTCCATGGCTGCCACCCACCTCCACCTCCACGATGACGCAGTGACCAGGCACAGAGGCTGGGGGCTCTTTATTGCCATGACCACAGGTTTAACAGAGGGCAGCAGGTGTGGGCAGGTGGGGCAGCTTCCCTGAGGCCCTCAGGAAGTCCTCTCAGCCTCTGACGATGCCCTCACGCGCCCAGGAGCAAGCCAGAGAAGCTGGAGCCACTCTGGATGGTGAGAGCCACCCCAGAGCCGTTGTCCACAAAGACAGAGGTGTACTGTCCAGCCTGCAGACACCCCACAACGGACATCACCCCATGGCGACAATGCTCCAGTCCCAGGCAGAACCCGCCCCAGACCACGTGGCACCCAGGGCTCCTGAGTGTCTGTGTGGCCATGCCCCTCCACCAGCTGGGCTGGGCCATGCCCAGGCCACGCTCAGAGCCGGGACCCCTCTGGCCTCACCTGCAGCTGCAGCAGCCCCTGTGCATGCACCGTGAAGGCCCTGCCATTGCTCTCCAGGCCTGAGACAGCCTCCAGGGACCTGCGCGTCGCACCCAGGACCGGAGTGAGAACACAGCCAGCCCCTGGGCTGGGACCTCACCCCAGCACTCAGTGCCACCCTCCACTCTCCGAGGGCAGGATGGCCCTCACTCAGGCGCCCACCCCTCCCCCTCAGGCGCCCCGGAGGCCCCACTCACGCGTGGCGATGGCACAGGGACTCGATGCAGACCAGCACTCGCACTGTGTCCCGGGCCCGCGGCCGAGCCCTGCCCTGCGGCTCCCTGTGGTCTGCAGAGACATCCTGTCTGCCGTGGCCTCAGGAGGACAGGGCAGAGAGGGCCGAGGGCTGGGGCTGGGGGCTTAGGGCGCACTGCCAGGGACAGGCCCGGGAGTGGCTACAGCTAGGAAGGTGAGTGTGAGGCCCTGCCCAGGCCCCCAGGGGGAGTTGGGGTGGACAGGAGGCCCTGTGCAATGGGCCTCTGGCCTGGGGGCTGGCCCCGCCCCGCCACATGCACCCCAGCCTGGCCCCACTCACCCACGTGCAGGCTGGCAGAGAACTGGAAGATGGCAGTCACTGGGGCTGTGAATCGGCCCGAGGCCAGGCTCAGGCCAGACCCCCGCAGGAAGGCACCCTGGGCAGTGGGCTGGAGGGATGGCAGGTGATGGGCGGATGCAGGGCCCCAGCCCTTGTCTTGTAAGCCCGCCTTGGGGAGGCACCCATGACCAACAGCCCCCAACCCCGAGCAGCCTCAGGTGAGGCTGTGTGTCGGCACCTATCTGGGCCTCTGCATGGGGGCTCCAGGACCCAGTGGGCACATGAGGCCCCAGAGGCCCCATGGCAATGGTGTCTTGGCCACTCACCACCTTGGACCCCAGCCAGGTCTTGTGGAACATTGGGGTCCAGGCAAACCGGGCCTCGTGACTGATCTGGGCCGCTCCCCCAGACCCCTGCTGCACGTATGTGCCTGGGCAGCCACCTGGTCACAGCTATAAGCCCTGCTCACCTGGGGAGGCCTACCCAACACCCTGCCTCCCAGTTAGTGGCCCTGTTAATGCATGAGGACGTGCAGCAGATGCCCCCAGAGATGAGCAGGGATGGCCAGGCCCTCGGCACCCACCCCGGACCCCCATGTGCGGCCTGCCCCCCCACGCGCACTCACAGCCTGGAAGCCCTGCAGCTCCATCAGTGTCTTCTTGTCCACCAGCACGGGGCCCTTCAGCCGGCAGTGGAAGGCTTCGGCCACCAGCCTCCCACCCGCATCCTCGGGCAGGAACGGGCCCAGCAGCCCCGAGAACCGGCGCTCGGTGGCCTCTGGGGGGACAGGGGCAGGGATGGCAGCTTGGAGTCAGCACGGGCCACCCCCAAAGCCCGGGCAGGAGGAGTGGGGAACAGGGTCCTCACCTCTCAGCATCTCCTGAAACTCCCGCAGGAGCGCCTCCTGAGTGATTTCTGCTCCGGGGGGGCCTGGGGGGCCAGGAGGCCCAGGAGGCCCTGGGGGGCCAGAGAGGCCCCTCTAGGGAGAGGCAGGAGAAAGTGAGGATCCTGGTGGCAGCCACAGCAGCCCCCGCCCTGGGTTCAGACCCCGGGACTCACCGACTTCTTGTCCCGGCCTCGGCACCGTTTCTTCAAGGGCCCATCGTCTGGACGCCGGACAAAGTTCAGCCATGTTTTGTGGGCATCTGAGAACTCAGGCTCTGAGGCCTCAGGCAGCTAAGGCCAGGGGACAGGGCGAGCAGGCTGACTACTGGGCCCTGTTGGGACCTGTCCCACTGCCCCCAGTGGAGAGCAGGCAGCCCCGGGGCCTAGGCTGCCTCAGGGCAGACACACAGGCCATGGCAACAGGGCACCACAGGGCTCCCCTGGGGACTTGGACTAGGACAGCAGGGAGGGACAGGGCTTGAGGCCTGATGTCCAGACCCTGGTTTGGGTTCTGGGTGGGAGTGGCGGTGCTCCTTCCCATGACACTGTCCCCAAGCATATGGGCACACCCCACAGGGGCTGGGCGGGCTGAGGCAGGGGTGCAGGGCAGAAGTGAGTTTTCCAGGGATCCTTCCGAGAGTCCCAGAGCCGCACCGGGCGCAGAGGGGGCAGGCACAGGCCTGCTCTGTGCTGGGCACTGAGAGTGCGAGCCGGCAGCCTCAGAGCTCCATCTGGGCTGGGACCAGGCCACAGCAGGTGGGTCCACCTCGCACACAGTAGGGACAAGGGCCAGAAGGGGCAGAGCAGAGCCACCCAAGACTGTGTCCCCCACCCTCTAATCTCCCCTCCTAAGCCCTATTCCTGCACCAGGGCAGGTGGGAGGGGAGGAGCAGGGACATCCCTAGCCCCAGTCGGAGAAGCAGACAACATGCTAAGGGGGGCGTGGGCTGGGGAAATCTCTCCCAGGCTCCAACAGGAAGCCCATAAAATGGGAGGGAGTCTAGCAGATGCTGGCCTGTCTGGGAGAGAGCCACCACCAGGAGGCTGGCAGAGTCCTGGCCACGCCCCCACCATCAGAGCCACCCCAGGCAGGGCAACCTGAGGGGCTCTGACCCAAGATCCCGCGAGCAGTCAGCCCTCAGAGGAGAGCTGGGCAGCACCTTGACCAGGGACGGCCAGGGCTTCCTCCCACCCTGACCCGGGATCCACCCAGGAAAGAGAGCACACTCAAATGCTCCTGATTCCTCGCGAGTCTCTTATCTACCTGATACCCTGGCTGCCCCAACTCCAGCACTTGAGGGACCAGTGGGTCTGGGGGCTAAAGGCTGCAGGAGCAGAAGACAGGTGGAGGACGAGCCCTCCACCAGCAGGAAGGGCAGAGGCCCTGACCTCTGCATGGGTCCCGTCTCACAAGTCCTGGGGCACCACCCTCCCCTGGACTGCCCCACACCCTTGGTCTGGAGGCACAGCCCTGGGCAGCGTGAGCCAGGCAGGGTGGTGAAGTGTCACCGAGGATCTCTCTGCTGGGTGACTGGCTTGCATTGCTCAAGACCCTCTGCTCCTGCCCAGAACCCGTCTGCAGCCCCACTCTTCCCTGGCTGGCAGGGCTCAGGGACTCACTCCCCTCAGCCTGCCCATCTGGAAAACGGGGCCTTGGGCTCCCATGGGGCTGCGTGGGCAGAAAGCAGCCGGGCTGGCCGCCACAGAGACGCCCTCGAGAGGCGGGAGGCCTGGATCAAAGGCACAAGGGCTGGCGGTTGAGGAGGGTGGGGGGCCTGCCGGGGCTACCGGCCCTCACCTTCCAGCCCTGCAGCCCCTGGGTTGGCAGCTGCAGGAAGCCGCCAGGCCTGTGCTGCTGGGGTCAGCTCCAAGACCCCCTCAGGAGATCTTCAGCCCAAGAGGGTGGAGGCCCAGGGCTGAGATGGGTCTCCGGGGGGACGCTGGGCACAGGCTGGGGCTGGAGGGACTCCAAGGACCAAGCACATCCCAGGCCAGAGGCCACCAGGATGCTGGCTACACGTGGGGGGGCAGGGAGGGGACCTCCAGGAAGCGCAGCCTTTGACCTCTGCAGCCCCAGCTGTGGATCCCTGGCTCCCAACAGAGCAGGCTGCCGGGAACTCTGTCCCACCGGCTCCAGAATTGGCAGTGGCACCTACTGGCAGCAGGTTGCTCCGGGCCTGGGGGCCTGGGGCTTCAAAGGCTTTTACGTAGCCCCGCCGGGCAGCCCCTTCCCTTCCCCAACCCCTCCCAGACGCAGCGGGGCCGAGGCCGCCCTAATCCCGGCGGCTGGGGCTCCTGCCCAAAGCCCCAGCCGACCCAGGCGGGAAGGCGAGCCGCGGGGCCGCACCGGGCAGGGCGGGAGACCCCAGCGGTGCCGCAAGTGCGCGCACGCCCCACCCACGTGCGCCCGGCCCGCGCGTTACCTTGTGGAAGGCCGGGTACCCCTCGCTGTTGGGCGCGGTGGCGTTGGGGGGCTCGAGGCGCTGCCTAGGCTGCCGCGGCCCCTTGGGCTCGCGCCGGGCCCCGACGCCCCCGAGGTGTGCCAGCTGCGGCCACAGGAGGGCCACGGCGACGGCCCAAGCCCAGCGCATGGCGGCCGGCGGCTCCGGACCTCGGCGGCTCAGCGCCCCGGAGCGCTCATGGGGACGCGGCCCCAGGGGGCGCCGGGCCGGCGGCGGGGCATGTGAGCGGGGAGCCGAGGCGGCGGCGCAACGCAGGCGGCGCGAGGGGCGCGGCGGGCGCGCTGGGTCCCACGGGATCGGCGGCGCCGGGCTCCCCTCCGCTGCGCCCTCTCCGCCCGCGCCGCCGCGGACTGAGCCCTCGCCTCCTCCCCAGCGCTCGCGGGCTCCAAGGGGGAGGGCTCACGCGGCGCTCGTCAAGCCGGCCGGGGGCGTGGACGGGGCGGGAACCCCACTGACCCGCGCCACCCGCACTTCCACTAAGCAGCGGCCGCACCTGGCGCCACCCCTCCCCAGGAGGGCCCGCGACCCTGGGAACCGTTAACACGGATGGCGACTGCGCGCACGCACCCCAGCCCCTTTAGGGTGCTGGCCCTGGAACCCAGGGGTGGAGACGCACTCGCAGGGGCTCCCAGACCCACCAGCCCCTTCCTATGACCCACCTCCCTCCTGCTGCCCCTCAGCCTCCCAGCCCCTCCTCCTCTGGGGGGCACAGGGCCAACCCTTACCTCCTGAGGGGCTTCCTACCTCCTGAGCAGGGGGAAAGGAAGACGATTCCCCCAGCCCGTCCCCTCAGGGGTTAGCACGAGGGTGAGCCGGGCGGCTGGGTGCTGCTGGGTGAGTCCTTTCCCTCCACGGCCCCGGGTCTGAGATTCCCCTCCAGCTGGACAGCGACGGTGGGCGGGCCCCGGACTACCTGCTGGGCCCTGCAGGCCCCTCACCACACGGGGCTGTAGGGGGTAGTGTTCTTGAATCCTAAGCTGGGACCCCTGCTCCAAGCCATCCCTCAGCCTGTGTGGACCCAGGCAGGAGACAGGCAGAGCCATGGCTGCCCCCCTGCATGCATTCCTGCCTCAAGGGAGTGGGCACACTGTTCTGGTGGACAGCACAATAGGGCCCTCCAGGCCTTCCCCAATTTCCAGACGTCCATGGGGAATTAGAGGCAGCCAAGCAGGAGACTGCTTGGGGTCAGCTCCAAGACCCCCTCAGGAGATCTTCAGCCCAAGAGGGTGGAGGCCCAGGGCTGAGATGGGTCTCCAGGGGGACACTGGGCACAGGCTGGGGCTGGAGGGACTCCAAGGACCAGGCACATCCCAGGCCAGAGGCCACCAGGATGCTGGCTACACGTGGGGGGGCAGGGAGGGGACCTCCAGAAAGCGCAGCCTTTGACCTCTGCAGCCTCAGCTGTGGATCCCTGGCTCCCAACAGAGCAGGCTGCCGGGAACTCTGTCCCACCGGCACAGAGTTAGCAGCTACAGGCCCCAGGCCCACGGTTAGCAGCTACAGACAGGGTGGCCCCAGAGACAAGATGGGTGAGGACGTGAGGTGTGCCCACCCAGGGACACCCATCCTTCCTTGCTCAGGCAGAGGTGGTCACCTCCTGGGACAGCAGTGGCCAGTTCTCACCTCAGCTTCCTCGTGTGTCCAGCTGGCATGCCAGCTCCCAATGCCTAGGCCCTGAGGGGGGCCAATGCATGACCTTTGTGTCCTGCCCAGCTGAAACCCTCGGTGTGGCCTGCACCCAGTACAGGGTCAGGAAAGGGACCAAGAAACTCCCACCAAGCTGCGAGGCCCCTTCTCACAGGCGGGGCGCCTGTTTCTCTGTCAACTGTATCCTGACGGCCTAATGCTTCAGGGCCTGAAGGCGTGCCAGCAGAGAGCCGCTGGCAGCACGCCATCTGACTGGCTGTGCTGCGAGGACACGGCCAGCTGGGCTGGCCTCCAGCAGTCCCACAAGCTAACGGACGCAGAGGTGGGGACTCAGGCAGGTCCAACCTCACCCGACAGCAGCGTCTGCTCCCCGTCGCCTTCAGAGCCAGCAGGAAGCAGGAGCCGCCTCACTGGCCCACAGGTGCCAGCCCACAGATCTCAGCCCAGCTGTGCTTTGCAGCAGGAACCTGCCCCCTGAGCTGGGCCCTGGGGGTAGGCCCCTCAGGGTCACGTCCACTGGGCACTGGCTCTTCTTCCCAGTGCACCCCAACCACCATGGATCCTTCCATTGGGAAAAGGACCAAAGGGAGCCTGCTGGAGTCGACCGGGCCTTCCTGCCACAACCACCAACTGCCCCCTCGGAGGCGTGACTCAGCCCACTCTCCCCACCCACAAAGCACATGTGGGGACACAAATCATCACGACTCCCTAGGAAGGGCTCGGGGTGAAGCCGTGACGCAGGGAGAGCTACTCCAGCCTGAGTGAGACCTCCAGGCTGGTCTGCTGGTCCTGAAGCCTCAAACTCAGGTCTGGGGGAACCTTCTTGGGGGTAAACACAGGAAATACTTTTCTCTAATCGCTGTCCACACCAGCAACACGTTGCTGTCCACGCATCCATAGAAAACAGATCTCGTCAGGGGCTTTTCCGTCCCTTGCTTAAGACAGACTTCACAACTCGGCCTGCACTACAAAGGGTTCAGCCATGCCTGCCAGGGATGCCACGTTCAAGAATGCGCTAAGGACACCCAGCTGCCCTTCCCCCAGGGACCCCACACAAGGGGGGCCTGTGATCCCAAGAGCAACAAGAACATGGGGTTGATGCAGGGCCCAACAGATCACCTTTATTTTGGGTCACTTCCAATAGTTCCCACCTTGGACTCAGTACAGCACAAACCCACATCCGCTGATGCAGGTTTCACATACAGGGAAGGAATACGGACGTTAAGTGAACCATCTGCTAAGCGTCCTGCCTCCCGGGAGCCTCAGGGGACATTGAGGGTTTGGGAAGGACGTCGACCCCGAGACGCCCTCCGGTGGACCAAGGGCTAGGCCTGCCCAGCAGCAGGCATCACCACCAGAGCCACTGCCACAGGTGCGTGGCCACCTCCGTGCAGACCCCCAGCCGGGCCCGCTGGCAGCCATTCACAGACTTGCATTTCCGCCCACCGAGACCCAAAACAGCACAGAATTCAGGCACAAACATAATGACTTTTTTTAACACACAGAGTGAATTAAGCACATACAAGTGGCACCTTACAGAGCAACCGTGAATAAACTGATGAAAAAAAGTCGGAGGTCACAGGCACAGAGCTGCAACCCCATCGGCTCTGGAGGGGGGTCCGGCCTCAGCTGGCAGCTGACGCAGCCCCTCCCAAGCCCTGTGCGGGAGCACCCACGACGCAGAGCAGCAGACGTGGGCAACCCAGGGCCCCGGCCGCAAGGCCGAGACGCTGCCAGCTGTGGCTCCCACCTTGGGCACATCCTCCTTGGGCAGACTTTTCCTTTCCTTCTGTGATGCTCCACCCATATGATCGTCCAGGAAGGGCAACACCTGATGCGGATCAGCTGGACAAGGGCATGTGGACCTATTGGTAAGGTCCACGGAACCAGGCATGAGGGAAGCCGCCAAGCACGGAGCGCCGTCTGCACCTGTGCAGAAAGGGCTTCCGGGCCACCCCACACGCAGCCTTCAGAGCCACGCTCCTGCAGGTCCAGGGGGCCGCCCCACAGCACGGGAGCCTGGCCCACGGTGGGGACAGGGCTTCTGGAGGTAAAGGGCGACCCCTTGTGGTCAGAGTGAGCACATGCTTAACTTCAGCTTCCGCCAAAGACGGCGCCTGTCCAAAACTCCCCTTCGGTCCAGGTGAACATGAACGCCTGCTGAAGTGCAGAAGCCAAACCCTACGTCTCCTGTATCCCCATCCGTGGCTGCCCCGGACAGCTGGCCCCTGCCCTCAAGGGCTGGATGCTGCCACAGGCCTGGCTCTTGCCTGGTCAGCAGGGCCTTGCCAGATGAAGAATGCACGCGGAGCACTGGATAGGCATCGAGTTTTATATTTTTAAGTGAACAAATCTAATAAAATGAAAAACAGGTTTACTAAAACAAGTCCAAGAGACAATACAGAAGATAAGCTATAAAACCAAAGCGCGAGGGCCCCTCAGGGATGCCTGGGCTCCACGGCCCCCAACAGACCCAGAGCGACAGCAGGAGGCTGGCACTCCTTGTCTCCTCCAAATCCAAACTACACGCTTTGGTTTTGTTTTCCTCTTAAAAGGTTTTTAAAAGGTTAACACCAGGAGTTAGGCAGGCCTACCCCATACTCGGCGGGCCGTATAGCCAGCCCACGTCGAGCTGGGCCCAGCGTCCCTCACTTCCGACTGCCTCTGACAGTTGTGGCGCGTGGCTCACTCCTGAGCTATGCTCCTCAGCACATACTTGACCGTGTAGGCAAAGGCTGCAAACCCAACAATAACAAACAAGTTCGCCAGGGCACCGCCCAGGAGTCCATGGTGCCGGTTGGCCTGCTGGAGCCCTGCAAGGTGCGGCCCGGCCCCCGGCGCGTGCCCGTTGAGGAGCGGGAGCCCGTTCTGGCCGTGGTGTGTCTCCCCATCTGGAATCACATCTGGTAAGGGGAGAGCCTGGGGTCTGCTACTGAGTTCATCTTGTGCTTTCTGCTTCTGTTTAATTTCCTAAAAGAAAACAGGTTGGTCTAAACAAATCGCTTCCTCTAGGACTAAGGAGGGTCCTGCAATCCATCAAGAAGACCCTGTGAGGCTGCGTGTTCAAATCCCGCTCCCGCCCCTGAGGGTGGGTGCTGCTACGAACCGTTTTACAGACAACGGCCAGGTGACGGGGTCACACAGCCCTGACCTCGTGAGGTGTGCTCCCTGCTCCAGTCCCATGACCAGGGAGTATCCCAGGCCCTGAGCGGGGCCCCCCAAGAGCCTGAGCAGCCAACCTGGGGAGGTCAGCTCGACGGGAGCTCAGCCAAGCTGCCCCAGCCCATCCCTGGTGCCCAGGTATCAGGGCTACTGCACCTGCCAGATTCTACAACCCAAAAGCGTGTGTGGGAACAGGCGCCTTCAGTGCCCGCCTAAGGGGCACAGCACAGGGACACAAGGGGAACACACTTTCACTTCACAAACGGTTGAATCTGAAAGTGTTTCTGATGTGGGGGAAAAATCCGATATGACCAACTCTCACTTTCTTACCTCCACAACTTCAGGAAATAGTTCACAGAAAACTTTGTCTTTTAAATTAAATGCTAAACTTTGTGCAGCCAGTTGTCTTTTCTAGGAAGAAAGAGAAGGGAACATCAGCCTGAAGGCCCGTGTCAACTCCTTCCAGCCCTAGCAGACGACCTTACAGCCGGGCTGGCCCCCGTCCCGTGGGAGCACTCACTCCGGGAGGCTTGCTCTTCCCAGCGAACTGAGACTCATGAAGGGCTACGCATCTTTCCAACAATTAGTAACATCACACTCAATTCCTACTTGAGCAACAGAAAGATGAAAGCCCCTTAACAAGGAGCGTGTGCAGCTGTCTGTGGAGGGGCCGTGTACTGCCGTCCCTCCCCAGGCCCCGAGGACGCCTGCGCCTGCTCTCCCGCTGCTGAGGAGGGCAAGGAGCCCTGGAGCAGGGTCTCTACAGTGGTGCCGGGGAGCAGGCGTGTATGCGGGCCTCACCGTGAAGTCCGACGTCTCCACACTACCCAGTGTGGGGCCCTTCTCCACCATGAAGCTTAGGAGCCCCGTCAGGATGGTGGACACAGACCAGGCTGGGTTCCATGTGTCTGGGTGGAAATCCGTGATGGAAAGACACAACCTGCCAAAACAAGACCCAGTTGACAGCACACACACACTGCGGCCACGATCGCACTCCACATCAGGGCAGATGGACCTTACCTCGTGTTACACTTGAACCTTCCATTGGGTGTTATCATATAAATGCTGGGAGGCTTAAAGGGAAATTCTCTGGGAAAAGTGAGTTTTCCGTGATAATAGCCACCTACAGCAGAGAAAGAGCCTTGTCATGCCCGAAGAGCCACGCCCGTGGTCTGGACCCCAGCACCCATCGCCACTGTCCCTCCTCCCGCCAACTCTCCCCACCTCCACGCCTACCCACTGACCATCCCTGCATCACTCACGTCTTGCTGGTGACCTCACTGGCGGCGGGCTCAAGACCACCAGCCTGGAGCAGGCCCCCCAAGGCTACTGCAGGCCCCTCTGCAGCCCTGAGCCCACCCGACTGAGCAGAGAATCAGAAGAGAAACTGCCCAGTCTCCTGGGTCCCCACAGACCCCCATCACAGCAGGTCACCCCTAATCCAGGTCCCCTCTCTTCACCAAACCACACCTGACAGCAAGCAAACCTACCATCGTTTCTCCCACCTTAAACATAAACTTTGACCCCACTGCCCTCCAACCCCAGCAACTGCTCCTCTCCTGCAGGTAAAAGCTCTGGACAGTCCATCCACCCTGCCACACTGAGCCAACCCCTGACAAGGTTTGAAGACACCAGTCTCCCAAACTTGACCTCAAGGTCATCAGACAACCCACTGGTGAGTCCTACTGCACCCCAGGCCTCACCACCACTCCTGCCCCTGCCCCTGAAAGCCCACCCTGGTTTGGCCCCCTCCCCCTCCTCACCCTGTGCAGGCCACCGGCTCCCACCTAGGGCCCCACCACAACACGCCTGGGGTCTCACAATCTCTCCCAACACAGGGAGACCATGATGCCTCTCCAGCCAGCACCTGCCCAACAGGTCCAAGAAGGAATTCCCACTATCTCCCCAAAACAGCAACTCCATCTTCTTAGTTGCTCAGACTAAAATCTTGGAGGCCTCCTACCGCCACAGCACATTTACTCCCATGAGCCCACCTTCCATTGATCAAGAGCCCTTTCTGGGCTGCCTCCACCCCTGCCCGCCCTGCTCCTGTCTCACACCAGGGAGGCACCTGGGCGCCTGTTGGGAATGCAGAGCTTTGAGCCCTCCCAGACCAGCTGAGTGGAACATGCACTTGACAGGATTCCCAGAGGTGCAGGCACAGGAGGCCTGAGGACCTCTGCCCTGTCCCCCCACTGGGGCTCCCTGCTGGCCCCCAGCACCTGGGTGCCTCGAGGGTCGGGACATGCCAGTCCCAAAGCACTGCAGGTCTCTGCTCATGTGCCACTCCTGGGCGAGGCCCCACCACCTCACAGGGCTGCAGTGGCACACGCTGCCACACATGACTGCTGTCCACAGGGACAACGATGTGAGCAAGCGCCACCTTTACGGCCGGCAGGGCAGGCAGACAAGCCCGACAAGAGACTAAGGTAGAGCTGACATTCCCAAAGAAAATCATTAAGAAAAGCCAAACTGGAAAATAAGCAAGAGGAATAAGCAGGCATTTTCCCCAAAAGGAAGCAAGAGCAGCTGACACACTGCTGACAACTCTTTCGGCTCCGTACTGATCAGGAGGGGCTTGAACGCCCAGAAGCCCACCCCTCGTGGCCTCGTGGAGGGTGGTGGAAGGCGGGCCCACCACTCAGGACTCCCAAGGGGGAGCCGGCCAGGAGGGCACCTCCACACACACACACACACACACACACACACACACACACACAGTCTGGCAGTCCCACCTCGTTACCCACTCAGAAACGCCCACTGGTGCCCGAGAGCACCACTGGGGGGGCTCCTACATGGAGCGCATGACCAATGGTGCACACAGAGAAACAGCAACTTGCAGGGCACACCCGAACACAGGGGGACGCAACTCTCCACGCTCAAAGCTGTGCACTTCAAACTGCAGAGAACAAGCCTGGAGACACATCCCCAGGGAAGCCCCAGCCAGGCAGGGGCTGTGGAAGGCGGAGCCTCGCCCGGAGGGTAAAGCCTCCTACCCGCTCCTGAGCCACCCCAGCAGGGCAGAAGAGTCAGGGGAGTGACCTCCCGAGCGGCTCCCACCTGTGTCCTGCCCGGTGTCCATAGCGGACAGGCAGGCACAGGGCAACAGCCAAACCCTGGGGGAAGAAACCGTAGCCAGTGCAAGGCCGCAAGGGAGGAGCTGTCCTGGGCTCCCCCTGGCACCCTCCACCCCTGCCTGGAGCTACACGGCAGATCCCAAAATCGGGCAGAGTGACTCCTCCAACTTTACTCCTTTTAAAACCCATTTTGGCTGTTCTAGGTTCTTTGCCTTTCCACAAAAATATTAGAGCAAGAGTTTTGGAGTAAGTCTGAGTCTGCCCACACTGTCAGCTTCTGACGGGACTGCGTACAGTCTCAGCACCACCACAGGGAGGGCCCTTCAGCACTGTGTCCTGTGAGGCTGACTCTGAGCAGCGGGGCCGGCGTGCCCACAGAGCAAGGGGCAAGAACAGGGTTGGTTCTCAGCCAGACGACGTGACCATGGGAGAAGAGTGGTGAGTGACTGGAAGGGTCAGAACACCCAGAAGCCAGAGGAGGAACAAGCGACAAGGATGCACAAACGCACACCAGCCAGGTCTACGCTGGCCCAGACACAGAGGCCTGAGAGCCACCCCTGGACGTGGCAATTCAGAGTGGTCCCTGGGAGACCGTGATGAGACCCGTCAGCCACAGGTGTGGAGGGGAAAAGGGGTAGGGGAGGAGAGGGGCCGGTTAGTGGGGAGGGGCAGCAGTGAAAGCCCGTTCCTGAGGGGCCTCTGAGGGTCCTTGGAAGGACAGCACAGCACACCAGGAGCGTGAGCAACAGGAGCAGCAGAGCAAAGCACAGGAGATGGGGACAGGCCCGACGGAGGAGTGAGCGGCAGGCAAGCCGGGGTCTGGAAAGGGAGCTACCGTGGCCCAGGGTCCCCTGCAGTCCCGGCCCCTGGCAGCACCTGCTCCCTCCGCCTGCCACCTCACCACCCAGGTATCATGCTCTCCCTTCCACCAGCAACAGTCCTGGCAAGTCTTGCAGGCCGGGGTGGAGTGGGAGGGGGTGCAGTCACAAGATGAGTAAATGTTTGCTGTTCACTTGGGAAATATTAAAACTACAAAGAATCAAAAGCTAACACCCAGGCACAATCCCACTTGTGGGACAGAGCACACTGCTCGCTCTTGGCATCCGTTCTTCAAGTGTGTCAGCAACGCACATGTTTAACACGCATTTTAACAAGACCTTACAGGCGGTTCTGATGCCCACCTCACTGTATTTCTAGAACCACCCCCCCAAGCCCCGACACTGTCCTGGGCATGCAGGCGGCCCCACCCCATACATGTGCTCCTCCACGCCTGTTTCCCTAGCACACATCCTCCCAGAACTGGGCCTCCCCGGCCCAACTGCCCGGAGCCCCACTGATGTCCAAAGCACAGGGGCTCTCGCCTCTTACTCTGGCAGCAGAGCCTTCCCAGTGGGGCCTGCTACCATCCCACCAGTGTGGGCCAACAGCCATGTAGCTCTGGCCCCAAGGGCAGGGCCTGTGGCCAGAGAGTGGAAGGCACTGCCCACCCACCTGCTGCCAGCCTTCCTGCCAGCCCCCAGAGCCTTGCTGACTGAGCGTTCCAAGTCCTACCCTGTAAATGACACCAGAGGACCTGGGTGGCATCACCGACCAGCCTGGGCAGCGGGCAGGAGAGCGGAGGGCCCATCCCAACCAGGGCAGGGCCCCATCTGCACAAGGGCCCCACCACCTGGCTCAGAGGACTTGGCACAGAGCAAACTCTCATACATACCCTTTCTTCTCCTTAGATCATAACAATCCTGGTGCTAAGATCAGGGAACAAGGCCTGTCTTCCCTGCTCTGACCTCACCAACGTAAGGCTGCGTAAACCTCTGATAGTGGCAGATGGTCCCTGGAGACTGAGACACAACAGCAAAACAAAACTCCGAGCAAACCCCTCTGACTTGCAGAGAACCCAGGTTAAGTTCCAAGCATGTCCAACCTAACTAATGCACGTCCAGATCAGAGCGGCATTTACACGTACAAGGTTCATTCAGCGAGGTTCATTCAGAATATGAAAACTGCCTCTTACCCTCCCAAGTCAGAGCAAAGACTTACCTTCATAAGGAGTCATCTCAGGGCCTCGGACCACGTAGTGCCTGAGGGAGAGAAGGAAATCAGCTGGCTTTGGGAATGGCAAACTCTCTAACCCGGAGCTGCTCCAAGGCCAGGGTTTTGTAGGATCAGCCAAAGCCAGACGCTCCCACACATTCAGCGAATGCACAGAAGCTACACTACCGGCCAGCGGCTTGTTCTCAGAGCCCTTCAGAATCTATGACGCACAGCCTTCGGTCACTTTGTAACAGGAGCTAAGAGGCCGTACCCTCTAAGTTTCCCAGAGTGCCCTACGTCCACCATATGTAAAAAAAAGTCGATCTTCTCTAAGCATTAACGTCAACTGAAAATTTTTACAATTTCACTTATTTAAGTCAAAAAACTGATTTTCAATACACTCTTGATATGTACTTAAAAATCTGTATTTTTCAGTGTGCCCAAATATCATGCAGTAGGCTTAATAGCAAACAGTGACATGAAGCAGCTCTGTATCCCCTGCCCTGATGTCCTGGAGGAACCAGTAGCGACCTCAGCGCAGCTGTCCTTGAGCAGGAAGAACAGGGACAGCCCACGACTGTCACCAAAGCCCTGAGATGGAGCCCAAGCCCAGGGGCCCGTGTGCCTCACACCAGGAGCACTGCTGCCCACAGACCCACTTTCCACACAAATAAAGGAGGGTGACTCTACACCAAGAGGTTTTTGGCTTACAAATTTTCAAACAGATCAGAAAAGCACAAAGTGGCCCAGGAACAACCGTCAGAGCTAGCATATGATGCATCCGAAACATGGCCCTAATTCATCACTGCTCTCGATTCCAGTGCCCAGCGTGCGAACTGGGGAAGGGATGGGAGAGTGCGCCCTGCCGGCACCCAGGGCAGTGGAGTGAGGAGCAAGTGCCACGATACTCGGGGGGCAGGACTTCTCCAGGCGGGGGGGTGAGGGGGTGCCCCAGCTGGGAAGAGCTCACAGAGCAACCAGGGAACTGCACCCTGGGGTATCTCACCCTCACCCAAAGGTGCCTAAACTGTGCAAAAAATACGGAAATCTGCTTTCCTGCAGGGTGTCTGCAATATTGGCTGGTGCCAGGTGGAGGTGCCTCTGTGACCCACCCCACACAGAAAACCTGGGCAAGGGTCTCTTAACGGGCTTCCCTGGCAGACAGCGTCTCACCCACTGCTGCCGCTCAGCGCGGGCCTGGAGTCCAGGGTGAGACAGTGAGCCTGTTCCCAGGCTCTGCCTCTGCCCCTTTCCCCGATTCTGATTTTGTTGTGTTTTTTCACTGTAATAAACCTTACCACTGGTCACTCTAGTCAATGATCAAACCTGGGGACCCCGACTTGCACGTGAATGGCCCCCACACCATGAAGATGCCCCATGACTGCTGAGGAAGCAGCCCCTCCATCTGCCAGCCAGGTCCTGGGGCCGCCCTGGTTTTGTCAACGGGGGAGGGAGAGCTCCCTGGCTCACTGCCACCTCACTCCCAGGCCAAGGCTCACCTCACCCTGTAAGCCGAGAAAGGTGCACCCAGAATCCTCAAACACCTGTCCAATCTGGAAAATACTTCTTTTTAATTCAGTTAAATCTCTTCTCTCCAGATTAAAAAAAAAAAAAAAGGTAAGTTGTTTTTAAGATCAAAATACAAAACACCCTTCAAACAAAGAGAAAATTATTTTCAGACCTCAGCCCTGCACCTCGTTTCTCAGCCACAAGGCAGCCTGCAGAGGCAGCCCTTCCGCAGGGCGTGCAGCATCCGCACAGTCTGAGGTACCCTGAAGGCGCTGCGCTCTCAGATCTTCACGCATGTGCCCCAGGGGTAGGGGAGCGCCTGTCCAGGCCAGTGCCAGGAGCTGCTTATCAGAACCCTGTCCCATCACTAACTCTCCAGGAGGACAGGCAACTTCACAGCACCAAGAAAAGAAGCAGAGAGTCTAGAAACACAGCCTCTCCTCCGACAGCCATCAGCCCCCCTGCCCTGAGGTGTCCCTATGGACCCCACAATGTCCTCAGCTGCAGCCCATTATGAAAACAACCAGGAAGTGTCTGCAGGCCTCAGCCGCTCTGCCTGAAAGGCATGGGCACACCTCTCCCAGCGCCTGACAGGAGCACCAAGCCTGGCCAGCCAGCACAGCCCAAGCGGCAGCTGGCGGGGACAGTGTACAGCCTTACCATTCTAGAATGTTGGAGGGGAGGGGCTCAGCACAGATGTAAGGCACTGGGTCCTTCTTGATCCGAAGGTAGTCCTGTTTCAGACGCTGGGTCGCTGTTGTTGGGGCTCTCTTATTGCTGCTGTTGCTCATCTATTTAAAAGACATTCATGTTTACAAAGAACGACAAGAGACGCACCACCACAGCAGTCCTCAACCACATTGTCATTTCCTCCTTGTCATTTCTGCAGCTCACCATTTGTGCACAGTCCATCCCAGCCACCCCAAATCAGGCCTGTAGGTCGTCCCGACTTGCCCACCCGCTCAGATGCCTGCAGACCTTGCAAACTGTCCTTCTCCATCCACCCTGCCACAACTTTCACTTATGCAATGTCAGATGAAAAAACCCCGAAGGCTTGCTCTTGTCCTCAAAAAACCTAAATGGGGAGAAAGACATTTAATTGCAAAGGGCCATGGGTAGAGGTATGCTGAAGCCAGCCCAGATCAGCTCCCGAGGGACCGTGACATCTCTCGCAACTCCGTGCTGGGAGATCCCACACCAGCGGAAGTCAGGATGCACTCCAAACCAGCCCCCACGAAAGCCCATTTACCTCTAGTCCAAAGTGAGGGGAAGGAACTGGGAAGCTAGTAAATAGTCCTTCCAAGAGACTCAGGGGCACATGCCAGGCAGAAGGGGGAGCAGCACCTTCCAGGCAGAAGGAGCTACAGGTGAGCAGCAGAGGCCTAAGCAAGCTCGTTATGTCCAGGAACAGCGCTGGGCCACGGTGTCAGGAGCCACAGTGCAGTGAATGGTGGCTCACAAGGCTGGCCAGGCATGCAAAGCCACCAAGCAGCGTCCCGTAAGGGTCCTGGGCCCAAGTCAAGGCAGATCAGATCTGTTAAAAAGGTCACTCGGGTGGCTCAGCAAAGGATGGAAGGGACAGCAGGGGACAGATGGGATGGTGTGGGGAGGGGCAGGACAGCAGTGAACTCTGGGGACCAGGGATGAGGCAGAAACCGTCAGTCAAGGGCAAAGACGAGGCCTGGCTCCAAGGACCCTGAGCCGCTCCACTATGCTCCAGAGGCCGCGGGGAGGGCTGGCGAGGATGGACAGAGCTCAGCTCTCACGGGCACCAGAACAGCTCCAAGCCCCGTTTCACACACTGAAGCTTACCCTAAGTAAGACGGAAAAGCCAAGTTGTGCTGCTAAAAATAAAGCATCAAAAAATAAATAAATAAAATAAAATAAAGCGTGGAAGCTACTGGTCTGAAATGCAGCAAAAGCAGAGGACACATACCACAGGCAGGCAGGTGTGGAGAGAAGAGGAAGGGCATGAAGCCAAGCAGTGGCAGACTGGACGGGCATGAGGGGGGAGCCATGCCCCCCTGCTCATCCTTTCACCTCTGACACCCAGTGACCCGAGCTCTCCCGACCACAACACTGGACATCTGCAGCCAGATCCCACCCTGACCCTCCGCAGTCACTCCACACGCAGGACCCGCCCCTCCTCACTGCTGCCTCAGGACTTTTGCGCTTGGCCCCACAGACACACTCCCTACCTCAGTATCAGGTCTGCAGACTCCTGGCCCCTTCACCTGGGTGGCTTCCCCTCAGAGCACAGCCCCGGCAGACAAATGCCCAGGGCTCGATGTGCTCACTCTGTTCCCCAGGGCCTGCAGGGCACCCACTCGGCTTCCTGCTCCGAGTGCCTAAAGTGCAGGCCCCTTCCCCTCCTCCTTCCCTTCCCATCCCCCCACACTCCCCAGAGGCAGGGTCTACCACTTCCCCGTCCACAACAGCCTCTTTGGTCTCCCCTTCCATCCATCCTGGACGCGTCAGTCAGACTAACTCAACACACAGTCCTGATCACAGCCTTCACGACTCCACCAGAGCCCCCAAAGAAACGTCAGCTCCTCCCCCTGCCTGCCAAGCTCGCTGCAAAGCAGCCCAGCCAACCCTCCTAGGTCCTGACACCCAAGCCCTCCTCATCCTAACCACAAGACAGGCGACTCACCCAGACTCTTCCCGGCCCGCCTCGGAGCCACGCTCTCAGACCCACCCTGGTCCCCAAATGAGGGCCTCCGAACTCCGCCCAGCCCGCACCGTGCCAGCGCACCAACAGCAGGAGCAAGCTACAGACTGGCCAGGAAGGGAGTGCTTCCCACAGACGGTCTCCAAGCTCCAAGCCGAGAGGCCGAACGCACAAGGTGGCTCACCTTGCGGGGACACCTAGTGACAAGCGCAACAACAGTCCAAACGCAGAACCACCACAGGACTCGGTTTCTTTTAAAAGTTCAGCCAAACATTTCACTTTGCCACGTACTAAACAATTCACAGGACATTTCAAATACGACTGTGTCTGGACTCAGGTAAGTGGGTAGGTTGGACAGCCACTCAAATAAAACAGACCCCGCCTGGCCGGCCACAAACTCTCTTATTCTTGCTCTCAAAGGCCTCACCTTCAGAGCCGTGTTTATGACTCATCTACCCGGTTCAGGAAAGGAAAGGGCCCTTGAGGACTTAGAACTGTGCCCTCACAGCCCCTCCTGGTGGTCTCACCTACACAGATCATGAAGCATGTCCCAGGTTCCCCTCGAACCAAGTCCACAAAAGCAGCACACACACAGTGTATTACATGAAGAAACGGGCTGCAGACACAGGAAGGCCCAGGCATGTTCACACACGGAAACTGAAGGGGCGCCCACACCACGGGCTCGGCCCTCAGCCCCATGTTGATTCCAACTTGTCATACGCCCACCATCTGCTCACCCTATTGTTCTCTCTGCAAACGCGTAACTCTGGTGACCGTGTGGCATGAGACCCTGGCCTGACTGACCAGATGGGCACGGGACACAGCCATGCCCCGGACTTTCGCGGAAGGCTCTCCCTTCTCCTCCGGGACTGCTTCACAGGCTGGACAGAAGCCCAGGCCCATGGAGGCAGCCCCACCACCACCCACGCCTCCACCTAAGAACCGACCTGCCAGAGATCAGCTCTGCCAAGATGTGCAGACCACTCACTTCAATTCCAGGCACCAAGATCCAACCATACCTGAAGCCTACGCTCTGAACTTTCCTACTCAGACCCTGTAGCTTCTTGCTGTTAAGCTGGATTACGCCAAATTTCACTCACCTGGAACAGAACAACTGTTCTGCCGTGGTTTATTCTTATTCACTACTAGCTCTATTCCCACTGGGCTGTGGCCTCACCTCTCTGTAGCCGTTTCAAGCCTGGACCAGGCAAGGGACTGGGAACTGGATTTGAATTAAATACAGACAGCTAAGTGGTATCAGCTGAAAAAAAATATAGAAGTGTACACCTGGCCAGAGAGTAGGACGACACAGGTCATTAGCAGCGGCAGAGTGAGGCCAGCACAGGGCAGGAACCAGCCCCGGGCCCAAGTCCCGCTCGAGCAGGCCAGCAATGGAGCGAACCACTCCGCCTTCCCGCTCTCACAGCCTGAAATCTCTGTTATCCCGGGCGGCATCATCTTGGACACACTCTTTCCTGGCTGCATGAAGCGATTTGGGGCTCCAACTGTTCAGGGGTGAAGCGGCGGCGGGTCAACGGCAGCCACCCCCACCCCACACGGTTTCCCAAGACGCATTTACACACCGAGATCTACGCCGGCTGGTCCTGGGGGTGCCCGCAAGCGTGCCACTAACTGCGGGCCTCTCCTTAGGACAGCCAAGTCCTCAAGCTAGCCGACGACCACTCCGGCCCGGAGCCCCGGGCGCCCGGCCGTAACCGACCTCGGGTTCCGCGCACAGAAGCTCCGGGCCTGGGCCCCGCTAGAGGGGGTTCGGGCGGAGAGGGGCCATGCGGGGGCCCCGCGCCCCCGGCGCAGGCCCGCGGGCGCGCTCACCTCTCCCCGTCGCCGCGCGTGGGCCGCCGCCGCGCTCAGGCTCGCCGAGGTCGAGGCCGGAGCAGAGAGCGGAGAGAGGGGCCCACGCCGGAGAACTGCACAGCGCCGGGACAGAGCCCACCGCACGGCCGTAGCCCCGCCACCGCCTCAGTTTCCAAGATGGCCGCTCGCGGGGGCCGGGGGGCAATCCTCACTTCCGATTCCGGTGCGCAGTTCGCCGGGTCCGCCGCTCTAGACACCCGGGCTGACGTCGCCTGCGTCTCGCTGCTGTCCACCGCCCCGCGAGGTGGGAAGGCCGGCGCGTGCGCAGTGGAGAACAGCTCCGCCCGGCGGGGAAGCGAGTGGGGAGGTCGGTGCGTGCGCAGTGGAGCGCAGCTCCGAGGGGCGGGGACCCGAGTGGGGAGGTCGGCGCCTGCGCAGTGGACGGCGGCTCTGCGGGGCGGGGACACGAGTGGGCTGTCGGCGTAGTGGCGAGTAGCTCCACGAAGTTGGATCCCTAGGTTCCCGGCCTGTGTGGTCGGGCGCTACCCCTCTCGCGGGCAACCTCGTCCTTGGCCCTCTCCGGCAGGAGACCCTAGGGGCAGTCAGTGGCCACAAGGGTCCTGGACCCCGCAGCCCGCACACTCCCCTCCCCGCGACCGGGGGCCGAGTGGAGTCCCGCCGAGAGCGGGACGCGCCATCCCAGGAATATAGGCCCAGTTAAAAGGTTAAAGGGTGACTCCAGCACAGGGCAGCCTGACTCTAACACCGGCCGCCCTCCGAGGGCTCTGCCCAGACCGGCCTGGGGGTCCAGCTCTTGCGCCCCCTGAACCGGAGGGCGCAGGAGTACGAGAGACCCCAGCCCTCGAGTGACTGAACCCCTGAGCGTCACGTCCTGGGCGTGGGGCCGGGGAGCGTCCTCAGAGCCCGAGCCAGGTGGGGTCCGTCTTGGACAAGCCTACCCAGCCCCTGCCCACGAGGAGAGCTTTCCTCACAAAAATAGCTCCACTGTTTCCCAACCGAATATTCCACCCAGCCCATGAATAGGGTTATTATGCACCGGCGGACGCGCTGAGGATCCTTTCGGCTCGCGTGGTCGCCTCCCTGGCCCTGAGGGAGGTGGAGCAGGGCTTGGCCACCAGCCTTGGGGGTGGGGTGGAAGCAGGCAGGTGGGGCTGCTGGGGGAGGCCCCCCAGCAGAGGGCTGCTCCCAAGGGCTGCTGCATCGACAGCCCTCACTGCAGGGCCCTGGCGCTGGTCCTGTCCACCTCACGTCTGCTTTGGAGGATCGTTGGAGGGGATGTGAGGGCGGCAGGTGGGCACCTGGCAGGCCAGCATGTTGCCCACCACCCTCCTTCAAGGAGCAGCTCAGATCAGGGCTGAATTGGGGACTGGGTGTTCCTCCCCACAGGTTGTGCCAGGAAAATGCTGCAGGGTAGGTGTGAGGCAGACAGTGGTCATCAAGTTGGACAGATCTGGAGGGCCATCACTGGGTAGGACTGTGTGACTGTGTGGAAGAACTGGGATTCAGGCCCTGAGTCCTCGCCCTTCACCACAACCCCAACTACCTTCTGGGGTAGACCACTGGTCAATGAGGTGACTAACCGCATGGCAATTGACAGTGGACATCAAGCCCCGACAGGTCCAGCTGGGACCCTGGCAGCTGGCCACACTCACCCCTGAGTCCAGTCCACCCAAGGCTCCTTAGGCAGGAGGAGCGGCCACTGCAGGGCTGGCCCTGCACCCTGGGCA